ACGGGAGGGTGTCAGACACAGTGCAACGTGTCCAGGTAGGCCTTTTAAATATTCTGTTTAGCAGTTTGAGCAGTGGACTTGGCTATTCTAACAACACAGAAGAGGGCGGAGGGGGCTACACTTGGGCAATTGGATGAAGGGGAGGGAATGATTTGAAGAATATATGAGGTAAAATGAGCAAAATTTGTTAATTGATGATTTAAAGGGAGTTGAGGGAGAGAGGAGCCCAAAATGCTGGCCAGGCAGGCGGATGCTGGGATTTCAACCAGGAACACGGAACCACTCTGGAGGTTCATGCAGGGGTTGGTTACATCCTGATAAAAGCGACAAGGAGAACATTCTGAAGTTTTTCTAAATTAAATCACAGCAACCAGAGTGAGAGAAGACAGCATTGTTAGTGTGCTAAGGGCTGCCGGCCGGCTAACAGAGGACCACTCGCGCGCCTTCCATGTCTGTTGGGCGTGGAGTTGATTTCCAGGGGCCTGTGTCTGCAGGTTCTCAGCCAGGTGCCAGCGAACCCCCTGCCCACGGCCAGTCCACAGGAGTGGATCTCCCTCTTCCCGACTCTGCTGTCCCTGGGGTGGCTCCACTTCACCTTCTCCCACCCTTTGCCTACCTCTAAAGTAAATTTTTTCAGCAGCTTACATCTGCTGGAGGTTAGGGCTTGAGGCCCCAAGACCAGTCTTCTTTTTAGCTAGTGTTTTTGGCTCAATAAAACCTTTCTTAAGACTTTCGGCTTTGGAAGTTCACATTTTTGTTTAACAGAAACTCCCAGAGAAGCCACCTAGGGCACGCAGGAAGCTGACGGCACCTCCAGGGCGGTGGGGCAGAGGGGGAAGCTGAGGTAGAGCCCAGGGAGAGCACAGGTGGGGAGGCTGGGGCCGCAGTGCGCCTCTGGGTGGAGCTGAAGAAACTCCATTCAAAGAAGAGGAAGAGATGGCCCCGCTTTTCCCTTCCACCCTCCAGTCCTGTCCCCCGCCCCGGAAACCAGTTCACAAGGCAGCCTGGAAAGAGCTGAAGAGGGCAAGGATTCGGTCTGAGCGCCAGCACAGCAGCCCAAGTGGGCAACAGGGCAGACACGGAGAGGCCGTTTAGGAGAGGGCAGGGAGGCGTTGTTTCTGGGCATGGGCATGGCCATGGGCGTGGTCATGGGCATGGGCATGGTGAGTGTGAGGTGCTCCTGGGACCTCCAGGGAAGATGTCCAGGAGGCACTTACTGGGTCCACAATTCCAAACATGGGGAGAGAGGCCTGCGTCTGCACACGGAATTTGCCAGCCTACGGCCCTAGTTACAGCAACAGTAGCAATGGATGTGCTCACAGGGAACCTGCTCCTGGTACTTAAACATTCAAACTAGCTTCCAAAGTGGTTGCTTCACTTTACCTTCCCAGCAGTCTTACAAAGGGTCTGCATGCTCCCATCCTCTACGACATCCAGTCTTTTTATTTTAGCTGTTCTAGGGGGTGTGATATGCACCTCATGGTGGTTTTCACTGGCATTTTTCAGGTGCTCTCTGAGACTGAGCACCTTAGGAGGACTTATGTGTGTCATGTGAACATGTCCAGAAGATTCCACTCTGAGGGCCTCTGTGAGGGAAGGTGAAGGGGAGAGTGGGGGCCAGAGTGTGGGTGGCCCGAGGCTCCTCCCAGCATCCAGGGTTCAGGTTACATTCTCAAGCAGCCCACAGGCCTTTCTGGCTATTTCTTTGTCTGGGTTACCTCTGAGAGCCTGAGCTAAAGATGTGAACTCAGAGCCTAACAGATACCTGGTTTAAACCCTCAGGCCCCCACCGCCGCTCGCTTGCTGGGACCATGCACACTCAGGTTTTTGCATCTGCAAAATGGGAACCATATCTTTTTGTAGGGTTGCCACGAGGATTAAGTCAGTGTTGGAAAAGTGGCCAGCTCGGTATTTGGCACATACAAGCTCAGCAGTTGAAGTAAATGCCGTTGGTTTTGTTACTGGAAGAATTAAAGAGGTGTTGGAGAGCATATTTATTTCAGATGAGGAAACTGAGGCCTGGGGCTAATTAAAAGAACCTGCCACTTACGACAGAGTTGGAATAAAACTCAAGTTTGCTCATTCCCCTGCCGGTTGCCCCTGCCCTGCACCTGGCCCACACCTGGCCCACACTTAATCACCCACGTATATTGTATCAGGCCTGGGATAGTGAGAACTGTCTTTGTTTGAATCACTGCTGGGGCGCAGGGCAGACTCACACAGGGACAAATCTCAACCTGGAGCTCCGCTGAGGATTCTCAGATAGGGAACCGGCTCCGAAGGTTTTGTTTCTGCTCATTTGCTTGTTAAAAAAACCCCACCAAGACCGGGTGTTAACTACATCGTGAACTTCGTTCCAATCACACCTATTCCCTCTCTCCATCCCCAGTCCCCACTAGAGGGGCTGGAAGAAGGGCCCAAAGACAAAGACGCAGCAGACGGGGTTGTGCATGAAGCTGCTGGTTTTTGGGAAAAGCGTTTATTTCCACCCTTTGCTTCCGTGAGCCAACCACCAGAGGTGAGGTCAGGTCAGGAGCCGCACTCTCCACCTGCCCAGGCCGCAGAAGCTGCTTCAAGTGAAAAGGATTTTTTAAAAAAATGTTTTTATTGATTTCAGAGAGAGGAAGGGAGAGAGAGGGAGAGACAGAAACATCGATTTTGAGACACTGATCAGCTGCCTCCTGCACGCCCGCCCCCCTGGTCAGTGCCTCGACTGGGAATTGAACCCTGACCTCCTGGTTCATAGGTCGAAGCTCAACCACTGAGCTACACCGGCCGGGCAAATGAAAGGGATTTAAAAATATATATATTGCAGATGTGCCGTGCATATTTGCAAACATTCAAGCAAAAGCCTTAACGTGGACCTCACGGGAGGGCGCTTCTGGAGGTCAGTGAAGGCCCCGGAGGGCGAGCCCCAGGTGCGCGGCCCGGGCTCAGCCCCAGGTGCGCTC